ATGCTCTTGGTTTTGACTCTGCTATGTTTCCTCGCCTGGGTATGATGGGAACCTTTTTTGGCGTGCGGGGAAGGGAATTTGTGTGGATGATAAACGTTTCTAAGGCGAAGGAGGTGGCGCGAAAATATTTCAACTGCCCCACGGCCGAAGGACTGGAAATGGAGAGCACAGGTTGGGGATCTGCTTCACACTTTTCAATTCGCGTCGCGAAGGGCGACATGATGGGGCCTGGATACAGTCCTCTGGTGTACAGCGAACTGTCACTTGCAGTTTTCGATAGCATGCCATTTTACAAAGCAAATTTTGACAAGGCCGAACCACTGGTGTGGGGTAAGAACGCCGGCTGCGACTTTCTGGAGAAGAAGTGCCTGGAAAATGGTGTGAGCCCTAACCCCGAGATCTTCTGCAACCGCTCTCGCTCATCGGACATGTACTTCTGCACACCCGATCGTATGGGTCTTGGGTATTGTACACTGAAAACATATTACAGGGCACTTCCCGAGCCCTTCCAGTACTTCAAGGACAAGCGAATGGGTGGCGATTTACGCGCGTTGGACTACTGTCCTTATGTTGAAGCATACAGTGATACCACGTGCACTTCAGGCTTTCACCTTCAATCCCGTGGAAGCTTTATTGGCGAAAACGCACGTTGTGTAAAAGGCGTTGAGCTAGAAATCTCGGGAAAGTCTGTTGGTGATGTGTGCGTGAATACCAAGTGCGACAATGGCATTCTAAGCGTGCAGTTTCTGGGTGATGATGATGATGAGTGGCACGTATGTGAGGAGAAGAAGGAAATCATTCCGAATAAGGAAAACTGGTCAGGAAAGATTATCTGCCCCAGGTACGACGCGGTGTGCACCAAGCTCCCCGACATCACCATTCCTCTGAAAGAGCTACCTTACCAGGATGGCGACTACAAACCTGCTCCTGGAAACATTACGTGGAACAAAACTGAAACTCCCAGTTCCGATCCTTTGCCCCATCCAGCGCCAGAACCAACCATGGAAACTGTTGGGGCACCACATGTTGAGAAAGAACCAAGTTCGTCTTATCCTAATGTACCCACTGACTCATCGGGATCCACAGATACGACCACACCGGTGCAGAGAGATGTTTTTGAGAAGGAAAGGATTGACTCTCCGACATCCACTGCTCATTCTGAAACAATGCTCGACCAAAACGAAAAACACCATGATGGGCTGGATGGCAGTCAACATGGATCTGG